GCTCGCAAGAGAGAGCTGCATTCAAAAAATATCACAAATTAGAGAATTTGCCTCTAACGGGATGCGTTCCATGTCAGTGCATGCATATGCATGTGTAGGGGAGAGCAACAAATTAATGGTAAGCATTCAATAGTAGCAAGACACCATAAACCATCAAAGTTGGAGACCTGAGAAAGTGCAGCCGGGAGATTATTTATTGTGAATCGCCCACTAGACCCACTGCCTGAAACTTGCTGAACGCCACCTGGTGGTCCAGAAAGCATTGCTGAATTTCTTGATCCAAATGTACCACCCATGTTGGAGATGTTAAAGTTCCCATGGATCCCATGGAGCCCTTGCATGTTTCCTGCAAGTTGCTTATAAATAACTAAGTCATTCATGAGAAGCAGAAAGTTGATCATTCAAGCAACCCTATACCGCCAGAGTGATTCAAAACAGTTACCAGAACCAGTCTGGGATGGAAAAGCTCTTCCAGTAGCATCTGGATTATTTGAATTTGATCCGTTCATTCCAGACTGCATCTAGACATTTCAAACAAATTTTAAGAACCAAACCAAAATACAAAAATCGTGCATAAACTGAGCAACCTCGAATTCCAATTTTGCTTCAAGTTCTATTTTCTGGAATCATTCATCTAACTTCATATAACTCAAGTCATAATTAATTCTAATTTTGCTTCAAGTTCTATTTTCTGAAATCATCCATCTAACTTCATATAACTCAACTCATAATTCTTGGTTTAGCATAAGCAAAACTGCAAGGAAACTCAATATCAAGCACTTCTGCACAACATAAGAGAAAGTTTCTTTAAAAAACAAAGGCAAAAACATTCTGTGAAGTGGAGCAAAACTTGTAACAAGGTAGTGCGAAAGAAAGAGTACATTGAGTAGCCCCGACACCAAAAAATCTTCTCAATATCAACTGCAGGGCATAGTTCTTCACCTAGAGTTTGTTTTTGATATTCTTATCAGACCTTGTCACAAACAACTGCAAATGTAAGTGTTAAAGATGCAATGAGATATAATTGATAAAATATTTAATGCATAAAAACAATAAAAGCCAACATTACACAGAAACCTCAATTTAGCTAGCGAGCAACTTAATGAAAATGTTGACATTATTCATCTACAGTTATTGTGCCTGAAGCCAAGATAGGAAATGCCTCATCAACACAGACACCGGCGTGCATTATGTAGCTGTCAATCTTCAAAAGCCACAGAAACTAACATCGCTGAGCCAAAAACAGACACTGATTTACATCATTTCTGCCTCAGAAGTATACCTTAAACTATGGCAAATACCTTAAGATTGAAGGAAATGCCCGTAAAGCCAAATATCTTAATTATGAATTAGATACAATCTATCAATCTTTGAGAAAGTACCTCATATTAAAATCAGGAAGGATCTATTTAATACCACTATAATGAAACTGAATTCAACACAACCATGTGTCGTTTGGACTAGCTTTTGTTATGGTATCCTATTCAATTTCTTGACAATAAGTCTTCAAATCTGTTTCCTTCTTTTGAGAGAAAAAGAAAAAACCAAAGAAAAATCTGTTGCAAAATATACTTCTTTTCTTGATTTCACCTAACAGAAAAGGACGAGTTTAAGCAAGTTTTACACTTTCCAAACGGAAAAATGAAAAAAGAGAACCACAAAAAAACCAAAAACAAGTAAACCCCAAAAGAGTAAAGCCTTCAAAATTAGTCTGTTTTATTCTGTCACCTAGCAATTTTGCATGCCATGAAATTCAAATGAAATGCGCATGCAATCGAAAATAACCACAAATCTTTAAAGGAACAACCCAGAGATGGAAAAAAAGAAAATGAAAATGAAGAATCTAACTTTGATCATTCCATCCCATTAAGAACTTTCCCAGATTAAACTCAAACAAAATACAGAAACCAATTTCACCCAAAAAAAGAAATTGAATCTCGACAATGTAAAGAAAATGCAGATTTACCCTGATTACCCCCCACCCCCAAAACAACTCTTATCCAATCTAGATAATCACATATATCTCTTCAGAAATGGGGCCAAAAAAAAGAAAAAGAAAAAGGAAAAAAATGCTCAGCCGATGCCCAATTACCCATGCCCATCAACACTTGAACAAGAACGGAAAACGAAAAACAAAAAGCAACATGCAGATAAGAATTTCATCTAAAAACCCAACAAAACATCAATTAGATACAGCAAACCAAGAACAGAAAAAATAAAAGTTCAAATCCTACACATCAAACAAGAATCAACTTAACGAACCCAAAATTAAAGACCCAAACTTTCATCATTTCCTACACAGGAGAAAACCTCACAAAATCAACCCAATGTGTGCTCCCAAAGCAAGAAAAAGTTTTTGTGTAGATAAGTTAATTCTTTTTTCTGTAACGGAGAAAGTTACCTTAAGCGGCGACAAGAAAATCAACCGAGAATGCGAGAATGACGGTGATGATGAAGTCACCAGAATTGGACTGAGTTGAGTGAGGAGTGAGGAAGACGGGAGTTTATCTTTGAATTGCTTCAGAAAAGGAGCCCAGCAATTGTACAGCTACTACTGCTTGCGGCTATATATATATGCATAGTGAATGCTTGCGGTTGCGGGTGGCCAAGAAACGGGTCTAGCATGTTGGAGTTGTATTTTGGATAAATTTGCAGTGTGAGTACTTGAGTTTTTATATATTTCTTAATTTTACCCTTTTAAGTTTTGATATAGACATCATTTATACTTATTACACTTCAAGGAGATGAACGAGTCTCATTGATTTGAGTACGATGGAATTTAAGTTTTGTTTGGATCTCTGCACTATTCAGGGTGCGGAGTCAATAGATTAAGTTAGAGGTTTCGAATTAGACACCTACCACTTACACTAAAGAAATGAAACAAAAGAAGAAGAAGAAGTAATACAATGTTTCGATCGAAAATTGAGTGAATTGAGTGATGATTTCGGGAGTCTTAAACAATTTTTCATCACTAAACGATTGAATTCTTTTTTTGATTCAGTATTTAAGGACATAAACAAGTCTAATTATTGAGGCTTAGTGTCAGGGCGTTTAAGTTCGATTTATTCTTTTTTAGAACTAGTTTAGGGTTTAATACTGGATTAAGCGCTGTTCAAGGTAATTCAATCTATTTACAAATAAATAAATCTTAGTTTAAAAACTTGCTTTCTTTATATGTGTTTCTTTAAATGTATATGCCTATTATTTTCCAACCATTTATAATGAACATGTATCACCATCAATCCATAAATGAATAAGTGATGGGAGTGTACAAAATACAAATTTGTTTTACACATGGAAAGTTATTTATTTTGATCCATTTAAAGTTTAAACTGCTTCTTTCTCCATTTGCAAAGAAGAATTTTTTTAAAAAAATAAAGTTGTACTCTTTATAATCTTTTACTGGCATGCATATCAAATGGTTTTCTTATGAAAAATTCACAAGGTTGCTGTAATAATTGAAATTCCCTTGAGATTTTTGAAATTCTTATGATGTTTCTCTATATTGATAACCCAATTGAAATTTGCTAGCATAAGAAGAAACACAACTTTACAAGGATCCAAATTTTACAAGTCCAGTGAATAAGAGATGGGAAGTCGTTGAAAATTAACATGGCTTTTGGGTAAGACAGAACTTTCAACATGGAAGCATCAAGACTTTTAATTATACATACAGTAGAATAAAGAGAGACATACTTCATGGTAGGCAAAATCGAAACTTGTTATTCATTTTTAGAACGTTTCATTACCTTTTACCCCTACATAAGGTACTAAGTTATGACAAGCAATTGAAGTCGCAATATAAGTACTAAAAATTTTAGGCTAAACTAGCACTTCAAAAAAAAAAAAAAGAATTTTTTAATGCGAAATTGCCTCTATATGCATTTAGGGATAACTCTCTTTATTTGTCTCTTCAATTTGTTCAATTTTTCTAACTCTTACATTGGCTCTAAATTGTTGTATTATTAAAAGAGTAAATCTTTCCTACACTGATGGTGTATACAGTACTATCATCGTTTAATTCATGACATGTGTGCAAAAGTTGAATTTAAAATTCAAATTTTTCATAGTTGTCATTCATCCAATGCTGATAGTATATAATGGAGGAAATTTCTAATAGCGATAATTCTATACATACGCGTGAGTATGAAATATTTAGTAGTTCTTGAGTAAAGTGTTTGCCTTCATAATTTGGAATTGTTCATTGCTTTTTAAGTTGAGCTATACAAGTTTAACCAATGTTATAGTTTTTTTTTTCTTTTTGTCATTTTTAATAATAGTGAATAAGAATGGGATTCTTGGAGCTTGTTTTAGAATGTTAATATCATTTGCCAAATTTTATTCTCAAACCAATAACTTTGAACAGTGCATGAGTTCACTTATATGCCCATTCCAATAATTTAATGACAAGATTATTGAGTTAAATATTCAATCTTATATGCATTTGTTTGATTATAAGGAGTTTATACATCATCCTATTACTGTTTTTCAATACCATGTTTTCTTTCTTTCCTTTTTTTTTTTTTACAAGAAAAATTAATCAGCACTAGATCTTGACCAGTATTGCCACCTTGGAGTTGTGAAACAATTAAATTATTGGTCGAGTGTACGTAACCTTAATAAACTTTAATAATGCGTGAGCAGCTTTGTCCATACGCAAGAGAGCCATTCCCAACCCTGCAATATTTCCATGAATAAAGGGCAAAAGTAGAACAATTCTTGGAAGATATCTTGTCCGAAACACAAATAAAATATTTTATCACAAAACGAAAATATATATCACAAGACGTACATTCATTTATATTCTAGTGAAGATTAAATAACAAGAAATATGATTTATTTCCTATTTTACCCTTGGAGAGGGTTAAAATAGCAAATAACAACTGCTATCATCTGATAGCATCCTTTTGCCGGCAAGTGATACGTGGCAGCAACCAAATCAAAATGCAGAATAAAATAGTAGTGTTAGTATTCAAACTTCAAACACTAATTAAGAAAAGCCTTCGCCACTGGCCATACACAAACCACTTGCGCAACGCTGCTTGGTCCTTACTCCACCAAACCTTCTCCGCCTACGGCCACAATGGACGGCGGAAGCCAGTCACACGAGTCTGATATCTACGCTGTTCTGATGGATCGGTTTCATAGTCTCCAAGCAAGCCACGAGAAACTCAAAGAACAGTTCAATATTCTCCTGCAAGAAAAGAGCATTGCCGGTGGATTTGGAAGTACAAGTAGTAGAGTTGCACGAGTGAGAAACTCGGTGGACGAAGTTATGAATATGCAAGAAGATTCGTCAGGTGAGTTGGCGGGGGAAGATTCCAGCTGGGCTAGCTATATTCATGGAGCTTACTATTCAGGGAGTCCGTACAAGAACGTGTTAGAGTGCATGGGTCATGCAGTTCATATCAGTCGAGCTGGCTCTGAAGAGATCATTTACTGGTGACTAATTACTTATAAGATTTTAGTTCAGTAACTAGATATCGTTATGGAGTTACTAATTTTGTTGTTAATATGACTTTTTCTTTATTTAGTCATGCATTGGTCGAGCATTTTCTCTCGTCCCTCTTTGTCCTTGATTCTTTCTTTATTGAATTTTTTTTGTTGTTTACCTTGTTGATCTGGCAGCTATATATGTTCTGATATGGGATGTGAAATAAGTTTGTTGCTTGCGTACAGGCACTTAATTTAGTTTTTTAAGTTTTTCTTGAAGCCTTTGTTGAGATGTTGGGTTCTATATATCTTAGGCATTTGAAATCTTGTAGCACTAGGTTTCTTAATTTAATTCCAATAGACCTTTGTAACTTAATGAATACTAGGTAGACTTGAGAGCTCAGATCAGTTTTGATTTGTAGTCTACTCTAACTTTACATGCTGTCCTGCGCTCTTGATTCTCTATTCGAATAATGCGCTAGCGGTCGAGACTGAGAATACAATAACTGGAGCGTGGACTTGATAAATCTAGTTATGTTTATGATTGCTCCATGCTGTATATTTTTCTATTGATGTAGCAGACTAGATCTTGAGAAATTAAAGAAGAATCTGCTGGATAAAGTAATTGAGAGGCAAGCTAGATGAACATTAATTACTGAGTTTGTGAAAGATTGGAAGATAGGAACTGGATAATTTTTAGCACAAATATTGATAGCCATTAAGATTTTAGCAGTAGTCTCCTTTTAGATATATAGATACTTGTTATCTCATCCAAATGCACGTAGTAGTAGGATTTTAAGGATGCTAGTACAAGGTTCTATTGCTATAAAATGACATATTGTATCTCAGCCTCAAGCATTGGAGTTACGGGTGCTAATCACATTTCCCTATGACTCGTACTTCATTTGGCCAAGCCTAAGGCTTGTATTGGAGGATTAATGAGGCAGCACTGTGATATAAAGAGAGCAGATGCTTGGCATTCCGTTGGATTAATTGCTGTAGTTAGTTTTGTCCGGATGATGTAATCTGCATGTTCTTCTATTTTTGCTTGCTTATGTTCTATAAGGGAAAAAAATTCTCCCTTGCAGGAATTCATCTGCTGAAAAGCTCTTTGGATACAAAGACTACGAGGTATTGGGACAAAGAGATGCAGTGCTGATCATTGATGAAAAGCGTCATGCATTGGCGCGGAAAATCATGGACAGGTTGAGCTTTGGACGGTCTTGGGCAGGTCAGTTTCCTTTCAAGAAGAGATCAGGCCAGATCTTTGTGGCAATAGTTACGAAAAGCCTGCTGTATGAGGATGGCGAGCTTGTTGGCACCATCACTGTTTCAAGTGATGCAGCTGTCTTTAATAATCTACATTTAGAAAATACAAGAGTAGGCCAAGACCCTACTGATGGTAAATCTAGAGGACGAGGAATAAATCAGAAAAGAATCCAGTTGCGTGCACAACCACAGATTGCATCATCTGTTTCCAATCTGGTGCTTATTCTTTGTTATGGCATTAAGTTTCTTTTCTGCTCCTCCCACTTGTTTTGTTTTGGTTGAATACATTATAATTTACTAGTTTCACTGCATTAAACAGGCCTCAAAAGTATTATTGCGGAAGCATGAAGACAGTGGATCTGATGGAAGTTCCAATATTAGGGAAAAGGAGCAAAATGAACTGGACAATGCATATCTAAAATCTGAGAGGCCACCTAGAGCACCAGTAAGATTTGATTCAACTTGCAAACTTTTCTTCAATCTGGCGTGAAGGAAGAGTTATGAGCTAACATCAATTTTATAGGCAACAAGACCGCAAGTTAATTGTAAGTCTCCCAATGCGAAGAATAAAATTGATGGAGATGGCTTTGAAAGCGAAGAATCCACAAGTGGATTTCCTCAGCCATTAAAACTTGTATTATCTCCTTCCCTCATGTAATTGTAGTAAATATCAAATTGTTCCATTCTTTGGTACTTTTTCAGTGGGGATTCATTTGAAGCATCATTTATATAATGAACAACTTCCTTATGTCTGTAGGCCGAAAAGGTATTAGCGAAGCTTCACATTGGGGGTATTGCCAATCTTAATAAGAACAAAGATGCAGTTGTCCAATGTAACAGCTTGAATGGTATGTCATGCAGCAAAGTATTGGTCGAGTCATCTTCACCTGGAGCACCACAAGCAACACAAGCAACTAGCTCACATAACGGTATTGTTGATGATGTGAATCACAATGAAGAACATGTTATAAAAGGTGTCTCTTCTGCAGCAAAAGGATTGTCGAGAAGATCACTAACAATATCTGATGATTTGACAGAGGACTTGTATCCTATAACTGCACCTGTCCGAGTTTCAGAACAGTTGCAGACGTCAGACTTGCAAGACTTGAATACAAATGGGCAGAATTTGGAAATGGAGATTGAGGATACACTACAACCTCAACCAGATATTCAACGGTTCCCGAACTCAAGGGAGGATAGTGGAAGCAGCATTGGTAGTCCATCAAGCAAAGGTGATGATGAATCAAACTTGATTGTACATTGTGAAATCCATTGGGAAGACCTGCAATTACGAGAGCAAATTGGCCAAGGTAAACTTATAGGATATTGCTTCTGCAAAAAATTGAAGATGTTCTCTGCCTTAATGACCACAAGTTGGCCATGTTTGGCTAGTGGACAGTATTTGATGATGAAATTTGAACTAAAGATTGCACAAAATGTTCCATCTTTGGACGTGCTTGATGAGGGGAAATCTGGTACATACCAAAAAGATCCTCACTGCTATGAAGTCCAACTGATTCAGTTTTGGATCATAGATATCTGAATCCTTCACTCACATAAAACACGAGTTTTCTCCTTAGTTCACATGAAAAAAATTGCCAAACATCCATCATGTTACCTGATTTTTCCCGAATAACTCAGATACCATATATCGTTGGTCTGCTCATGGTTGACTAGAGTCCTTTTTCTCGTTTAGGTTCATTCGCTGTTGTGTATCGTGGAATCTGGAATGGATCAGTATGTCTTCCAACTCTAAGAGTTCCTAACTGTGATTGACTTCTCATCAGGTTGACATGATGGTTCTCTGCATGCCTTTTTCCTTTCTTAGGATGTTGCAGTTAAGGTTTATTTCGGGAATGAATACAATGACCAGACTCTACTCAGTTACACTCAAGAGGTATTTGATGCAGGCAGTATGTCCATGACTGTTGTAATTTTTGTTCTGGAAAGAAAATGTTCCTTAATTCAATCTCCAACATGCACTTCAGCTTTATATAATGAGGACACTGAGACATCCAAATGTGCTGTTGTTCATGGGGGCAGTATGCTCACAAGAAAAACTGGCTCTGGTAACAGAATATTTGCCAAGGTATCTGGTAGTCTTCTGTGAAAATTGCAACTCTATTGACCTTCAGCAGAAAATGTCTATCAGTAGTAGAGCTCTATTTTCCAATGCTTGAATCAATGTGTCTGTTCCATTGGCAAACTGGTGCTACTATCTTGTCTGGCACATTGACTATGGTCTCTTACCAGGGGAAGTCTCTTTAAAGCACTACACAAAAGTAATCAGCAATTAGACATCAGACGTCGTCTGAGGATGGCTCTTGATGTGGTTGGTTTCTGCTTAAAATTTTCCAGTTTCCTCCATTTACTTTTAATCCTTGGGATATGTAACCTCATTAAAATTCTTCTGAAATTTGTAATTGTATATTTCTCCTTTGGCTGCAGGCAAGAGGTATGAACTATTTGCATCACAGAAACCCACCAATCGTACATAGAGATCTCAAATCTTCAAACCTGCTTGTCGATAAGAGCTGGAATGTCAAGGTACTGTTACCTGATTTAGCCTGCGATTTATATGTTTATTGAAAAAATGATTAGAGTTTCGTTTTGACAGGTTGGAGACTTTGGCCTGTCAAAATTGAAGAATGCGACCTTCTTAACAAACAACTCTGGGAAAGGAACGGTAGATATCCTCATATTATTTCCTTTTTGTTCTTTTGTATACCTCGATCATTCTATCTGTAAGGTAATTTTTTTATCTACACTTAAACTGTTGTTGCTGCTGCAGCCTCAGTGGATGGCTCCCGAAATCCTTCGAAGTGAACCTTCAACGGAAAAGTAATTTCAAATTATAAGACTTTTCAGTACTCGACATTAAAAAACTGCAATTTTTTATCTGTTGTGATTATTTGTCATGCTTTTGCCACTAGCGATACCTAATCTTTATGGTCTATTCTCTGTATCATCTAACAGCAGGATGAGGGGGGAAAAGAATCAAAAGAGAGAACTAGGCTGTCCCAGTATTGAGAAGTTGATCATACTGGACTAATATTACCATCTCTTATGGTTCATAAGAGTTCCTTCCTTCTTTTGCTTTTTGTATGGGGTTAATTTAAACATTTGAGAAACTAATGCAGAACATAGTTGGTGAAGTTAAGAAGCTTTTAAAGCAATTCATTTTATCTTAGGCACATGATGTTAAGGAGGTTTGGCAACTGACTTATTTTCCCGTTGTTTTAATAATGTGACAGGTCAGATATCTACAGTTTTGGAGTCATACTGTGGGAACTGATGACTGAATCCATACCATGGAAGAACCTGAACTCGTTGCAGGTAGATGTTGGACAAAGTTTATTTCTCAATTGCGAGTGCTTGTTTTTTGGCAAGTCTTAGTCTGAAGAAGCGGATGTTAGACAATAAACAAAAGAAATGATATCTGCAGTTTCTCTCGAGTTGATTCAATTCATTAGTACTTGTCTTTTCACTTAACAGGTTGTGGGAATTGTCGGCTTCATGGACCGCAGACTGGACCTTCCAGTAAACCTTGATCCCGAAATTTCATCCATCATCCGTGACTGCTGGCACAGGTTTTCTCTTCATTCCGTGGTGTCCTTCACTTTTGTGGTCAAATCATGGAAATGAACATAGCTCTCGTATTATGCTAACTCGTGAACTGATGCAGCAAACCAGAAAACCGTCCATCATTTCAAGATATTATCCAGAAAATAACAGATTTAATTCAAACTGGAGCAAATGCAAGGAGGAGTCCAGGGCTTTGAAGCTGCTGCAGGGCTCGCGCTCGTGTATAATAGTAGTAGCAATACAAATGCAAGTCTTCCAAAAGTATGGAGGAACTAAAACTATCGCCAGACTTAACCAATAATATGGTGTACAAGTCCTTTAAGTTCACACAACATATTTGTTGATCGAGAGTTCCCATCTTTCTACTTTCCCTCCTTTTGTTTTCGTGTCAAGGAAAGATGAAAAAGGCTTTTGGAAAATGGAAATCAAAGAGATAAAATAGTAGCCTTAACAAAGAGTTGCATGAGAGTTTGAAGGACTTCATTACAGTTAATGAGTTTTAGCAGACATACCTGCAGATTTGGGCCATTATGAGAAAGGCCCAATCTCACAGCGTCAGCATTGCAATATGCAGATACTAAACTGTGCATGCGTTCATTGTTTTTTTTTTTTTTTTTTGGCTTTTTCGAAAGAAATTGTATAGTTATTGAGGTTTAGCATTATTTCGAATATCAAAATTTTTTTGTATTTTCAAAGTCACATTACGTGCAACTTTTCTCCTATTCGGTTCAAAGGTAATTTGATTTCATTGACTTCCCCTTTCATTTGGTTTGTATGCGACACCAGCATCTAGTGGAATGGAAAGGTGCATGTAAAATTGTGGTCATTGTTTATTATGAGGTTATGAATTCTTTTCTTTCAAAGAATTCAAAAAATTAATTCTGAAGTTTGTTCATCCATATGCGAATCATATTTTAGTCAAATTCAGTTAGATGGGATTGATCTCTCCTCCAAAGTATCTTGTGCTTTGCAATGAACCCTCTCCCCAAAGGAACACCCTTTATTTCTATACATTTTATGCTTAATTCAAGCTACATTCCCGTGGCTTTTGCACGAGCAAAACCTCAATTTTTACCTACCATGAAATACCTCCTTAAATCAAACTAATACTAATACTAAAGAGTTACTACCCTTTTAGGGTGAAAAAAACCAGTTGACTCTCGCACTATTGAATTTGTACGCTTTAAAGCCTTCAACTATTATGTATATACTTTTTAATTTTTTAACTTCTGTAAATGTATATTTTAACCCTTTTCTTTATTTTAATCGTCATTTTTAACAGAGTCTACCTCAAAACAACATAGCATCAATCGTCTTCTCCATTCAATTAACAATTATGCCTGTTTATCACGATAACTATTGATTGTAGGTGAACTGTTATTAAATAATAGTAGTTGATCACTAATCTATATTGTCAAATTTAGATGAAATTACACTTTTGGATTTTGTATTTTGCATAGATTCCAAATTTGGACACGATTTTTTGTGAATCTTTGAAATAACAAAAAATGTTATTTTACCACCATTTTATGATTCCTTTATCAAAATTTTCAAACTTATACAAAAGAATTGTATTTCTTGGAGTGTGAAGAGATCAATTCGACAAGGATTTCATTTAAATTTTCGCCACACAGCTTAGCATATCATGATCATTTTCAACTATTTCAAGGCTCGTTTAGTGTCAAATTCTCTAATATTTTATATCATTGAATTGCGAAAATATATATTGTTTACTTGGTCATATCTGCATTGAACAGAAAAAAACCTCAATTTTAAACTCTTTGATCATTTTTGCATTAACCCTCCAATTTGGACTATTCCTTTGTACTTTGTTAATATACTAGGTCTTCAATTTTTATTCATGATGTAGGCCCTGTTTGGTCCTTGAGTTTTTTATCAAGTTTGTCTACTACAAATTTTTTAAAAACTTTAACTACAGTAATCTCAAAAAACTTCTCAAAATTTTTAAACTATATACACTTTAAAATATTCAAAAATTTACACACTTCAAAAAAAATTTAAAAAATGTGTACAATAAAATACATTAAAATTTTAGATAAATATTTAAAAAATTCACTTGTGAAACGGTGTCTGCAGTTTCATTGACTTTAATAGCTTAACATCCTGGCCCGAAAGTTTGCTTTATAATACTCTGTAGCACTTTTTAAGAAACAATTCTTAAAGGGTTACTCCTCATTAGTCATTACTAGATTATTCCAAGAAATTCACCAAAAGTTGGAATTGGGGTGGGGCATTCTCAACATTTTAGGCAAGAACTTTGCCAAAAAATGAGATCTCAAAAGGTCAATCAAATGGCCAGCCAGCCTACGGGCTACAGGGGCCAGAAATGAGACAGACGACAAAAGAGAGTAGAAAATCTTGCTCATTAAGTGTTAATGCAATTTCTGAATCAGGCAATCTGGCGTCTCTGTACCTTCACCGCCGATTAGTCTTTCGTGAAGGACATCATAGGGTAGGCAGCATCCCCGTAACAATCGAGCACCATACAAAAAAGAGGTCAGCTTTGGTGCGTCAGAAATTTTTATAGTCTCAAAGGGGCAGATGGGACGTCTCATTCAAGACATTAGCCATTTCCCGTACAACTTGAACAAGCAAAGCCCCATCGCAGTTCAATTTCCCACCTGTGGATTGAGAACAAAAAAAAAACGAAAGAAAAAATCTCATATATGACAATATGGCAATTTATTACTAGTAGCATTCCTATAATTACCATGCAAATAGGGGAGGAGGGGCTGGAACGGCTGTCTCTGACAATCGTTCCAAAAGGTTTACGGGCATGATTAGGTCAAAAAAATTTATGCGACTCAGATTACTCCTTGTAACTCGATTTTCACGTCGTGCGGGATCTATAAAAATGTTGTTCTAGTGTTACTCGCTGTTGTTCTATTGTTACGCCTTATATAGATGATGTTACACCGTGTGTAAATGGTGTTACACCTTCCGGAACGATTGCTCTGACAGCCGTTCCAGCCCCCGAATCCGCAAATAGGATAGTGACGTAGTACTAGTTTGTAGTTCTGAGCTAGCGTCTAACTCTGAATGGACGAGGCGACTAGTTTAGTACTAGTTAGTTTGTCGTTTGGATGGTTGATTATTTTTTAAAAAAAATTTAGTCATATATTTTTTAAATTATTTTTTTATTTTATATACATAATATCATAAAAAGTAAAAATATAGTTGTATTATTCTAAATTCTTTTAATATAATCAATTATCCAAACACATGCAAGTTAACCACGGATCTTACCGAGAAAACTAGGCTACCAACTTAAGCATTATTAGGGGATTTTTTAGTATAATCATAATTGATGGACCTAGATAAGAAACTTGTCTAAATGCTACTATTGAGGAGGGATTTGAACAAGTTGTTTCTGAATAAGGAAAAAACTATAAATTTAAATGAATTAGAAGAAGGCGATCAAGCAGCATGAATTTTCTGCTTCACATAATTAAAGCGTAAACAAGTGTCCACCCATGATTTCTTCGGCAAAAGATGAATGAAGAACGAATGAAGCAGGGGCACCAATTATAAAAATTCCAAAGTTCTGGTGAATAAAATGGATTGGAGAAATTTTTGATGTAACCAGTGTGTTTGAATACTCGCAACTCATTAATTGAAAAGATTATTATATATTACAACACTCTTAACACTTTTATAGATGTGATTTATGTGAAACGTTAAATAATTTTTTTCAAATATTGAGATGTCCAAATTATTACCTGCATAGTATCGTTAAACCATTCTCAAGGATATACATATATTTGCGGAGTCATACTATTTATTACGCCTACTAGCTTATATTAATAGCTCAAAAACAAAGCTAGTTAAACTTCGATCACTTATTCTCTTGTGGAATCATACGTGTTTCAAATAGGGATGCTATTGAATCGAGTTGCTTGCGAGGGGTTCGTTCAAAAGCTTGACTCACACTTGATTTTGATCGAATGCGAGATGAGTACGAGTAGCTCGATAATTATTCAAGTCGAATTCGAGTATTGTTGTTTTTTTAAGGTCGATAACTCGTCGAATCCTATCGAGTATAAAGTAATTAATTAAAAATTATATATTTAGTTGTTACAATTTTACTCTTTTAAGGCTGAAAATTATATAAGTTACTAGAATTATTCTTTTAGTCGTGTCAAGTATTCGAGTTTAATCATACTGACAAGAAAATCGAGTATAATCGAATCGTCTCGAGTTTTCGAATCATTTTTCGAATTCGAGTTCAAACTCCACCTTTGCTGCTCGGTCGAATTCAAGCTCAAGTAATACCTTTTTACTATCGAATAAAGTCAAGTATCGAATCAAATTCAAGTATTGCGATACTCGTGCTTGGCTTGATTCGATTACATGTCTAGTTCCAAAGTAGTACATTGCTCTCAAGGGATCAGACATTGAACGACTAGCTGTCCAACAAGATCGAGAACAGCGTGCACGTGGAATTTGGACGGCGAACGTCTCCTTTTGTTGACCGGATATGATTTCTTCATTTCACACTTGGCATCCAACAGAAATTTATGCACGGGGCTGCCTATATACGACTCTGTGGGCACTACTTAGGAGGTTGGTCGGAGTCTTGACAGAAATGATTGACGATCAAAGTGGGAAATAATTTTACCACTTGAAGACTCCATGCTGAAAAGATCACCAAGTTTCTGGCTGAAAAGTTCACAGCGGAAAAGCTTCATTAACTGTATAAAAAGGTTAGTAACTTTTATGGAGAGGTCGTATCTGTTATCAATTCGAACTTGCAAGTTGCTCGGTTGATAATTTGATTTAAACTCGTTTTGATCGAATTTAAATTTAAATTTGAACTACTCGAAAGTACTATTGAATCAATTTTGCGTTTAAAAATTGATATTTGAGAACTCCACAAGTTTTTATTGAGTATTGCATTAGCTAATTAAAAAATAAATATCAAATATGATTATACATGTATACATACACGCGTAGAAATTGCCAATACAGACTTAACATTGTTCTTGATATGTTTGAACTCGAGTAGCACTCATGTCTTTCGAATTTAAGTTCAAGTTCCAATAAGATATTACTCGAAATTGATTCGACTCGACAGCACCCTTAATTCTTAGGACTGTTAATTTCACTGTGCGATCTCAAGTTATTGATTTTCTTTTCAAAAAAGAATCTTCAATCAAGGTAATTGTATCACCTCTAGCACTAGTTTTATAATCTTTCGTTATGACGAATTGAAGCTAATAATATAACAGGAAGAGGATTGTTAAAGATCGAACTGTAGACAGCAAAATTTTACTAACACAGCGTAGTTGAAACTTGTACGAGCCAAATCGATGTCTCTATGACATGGCAACGGTTTTATGTAAAAGACCAAAATGTATGATTCATGTTAACTTTTCACGTGGCGATCATGTCTGAGCCAAACTTGTACGAACCAAAGTTACTTTTATGGGCAAATCCATTTGTCTTCTGACGTGACAATAATACATGTAGCAACATTTGCAAGTGCGTTACAAGTAGGAGGTTCACAATTTATTCATGTTTTAATACTAATACCATGCTCCTACGGGTAGCTCGGACGGTGTGCTCCCCCTCTTTAGGGTATGGCCACTTACCTTGGCAACCAGGTTCGAGTCCCGTTGTTTACGTCTTCGGTGTGGAGTAGGGTCTCCTCTCCCGGAGCGCAGGGAGATTAGTCGG